ACTTGCAATAAAATTTAGATAGTATAACGTTGAGAGTTCTACGATCCCACTCGTCCGTTATTCTGCCGCCATAATTGCATTCACCGGTTAAATATTGAATAGCATCGAATCGTACGTCTTCGAATTCGTTAAGAAAAAGATGCAACTGCAAAATGCTGATCCTTAGATCGGTCTCGTTAAATTCGTACATGATGTTCCAACCGATCGAACCAAAGTTACGTCTTTCTTGTACGATCGCATGAAAGAAACACAACGAGTAGACAAGTTTCTTAAAGTATTCTGTCTGAGAGCAAGACTCGAAAAAGTCGGGATCGTTAAGCGGGTCGTTCGTGTAGGATCTAAGAATATTGGCTCTTAGGCCTTTCGGCGGCTCGTTGGTCATCTTAATGCTATTTTCTAAAACGGACGATGGGAAATGTTCCGAGGGATAACTCGTTAACCATAGTCGAAATTCCGAATGAATCGTATCGGGCATCAACCCCTCGCAAATTTTCTCCAATGTGGTCATCCAGCTGATAGCGAGATGACAGTTTTGAAGGACAATCCAATCACCGGTCATCACAGCTTTCTGAATCATCTCCTCGGCCACCGGACCTTGACCTGTCGAATACGCTCGGATTTCATACGATCGAATGGAATGCGATTCGAGCGTGCGCATTTAATTGGGAAGATTTCTACTTGCCTTGGCCCAGAGAAACATAAAAGAGACGGTTCGCGCTGTATCCCTGTTCATCGGCGAACGTGAGCAGCAATTGCGCCGGATCTGTGCCAGGCGTTAACACGAATACCAGCGGAGTACAACAATTCGAATCGGCATAAGACGACGTCAAATCGAACGGTGGCGGTTCGACGAACTGCGGACCGAGTTCCGCTAAAATGTCGAATGCATTCGGCTTCGGTTAATGTACTTTCTTTAATATATGAAAGATGGATGAATGTTATCGACGATCACCCTCGACGAAGATCCGTATTGCTGGAACGATCTTGTCAGGACGGACGCATCTCAGTACCAACAACCTTTCGAATGGGTTCAAGTAATCGTACGGCGAAGGGATCGAGCCGTTTTGCGGTTCCTTCGAATCGAACAGTTCTTTCCAATGTTTCGAATTGCCCGTAAAAGCCTCTCGAATCCCCTATTGGAACAACGTTCAACGATCGTAAGCATTGTAAGAATTGTAAAAATCCTCGATAAATATCTGTTATCGGTAGAGTCCGATTCTTTTAGCACGCACCGAGAAACCGTGAACGTTATCAAGATTACAAAGTTCGTTCCATTGTTTAGCGGGCAACCACGTTGTCGGGTTTACGTGTGGATTATCTATACCGACTCCGCCAGTCAGCAAGAATGTCCACTGCGATAAGGATAGTTTTTCTTGTTGTTGGAGCAGATTGATCGCCAATAGCAACGAAAATAGTAGCTTGTCCTTTTCGAATAGAGATCGACACACGTTCGTGTATAGGGAGAAGGTGAAAGACTTGATCAGGTCGAAAAGTCGCTGTTCCACGGTTTCCGCTGGTTCGGTGTTATCGATGGCTAATTCGTATAAATTCACGAACCACGTCAACGAGTATTGGTACATTGGCTCCACGTTCGCTAGTGCACCTTCAATAGAAACGTTTATGAGTGCGTGTTGTGCGGTGAAACAAGTTTTCGAAATAAATGTGTACCGGTAGTAAAGAAAAGTACGGTCGAATGAATCGCGATGGGCGTGTATTGTAATCTAGCAGCGTCGATCGATATCTCCGTTTGTTCAGCCGCTGCCTGCTTCACTTGTATGTCGTCGCTCAAATTCTTGGACGATGTCAAAACTTCGATAGCCTCTTCGTCCTCTAGTACGTTCCCTTTAGCCACCGACAGTATTTCCAAGATTTTACCTTCCGTTTCTTGCAAAAGTCTGAATATTGAGAAACGAAAGATTAATTTGCGAAACAGCCGAGCGAGTAGAAACGAAGAAGAATCGCGAGCTCGGACGTCGAGACGACACAGACTTCTTGTTCGTAGCTCCTTGCAGGATCAAGGCATTTTTCTCCGATTCCAAGTCGGGCCGGTCCTTCGCGACAACGATACCTAGCAATTGATCTTCTAAACCGGTCGGCGTTATCACGAAGTTCAGTAATGTCACTTTAACCGCTATCTCCGGTAAATAATGCGGGTTTCGTAATTTGGTGGTAATGTACAGTCTGCAACCGAAACAATAACGATAAGAATTATTCATTGGAGACTGTGCGAAATGCGAGACCGGCGCTATTCCGTGCTATGTATGTATCGTCTACCGGAAATCGTTGTTATATTCGACGATCGCGTCAGCAAATTTGATACACGTTGCTCCACCCTGTTTGAACGTTTCTTTCAGTAGAATCGGTTCGAGTACAGCGTCTATTT